GCCTCATTCATTTTTTGTATCTTAAGTAGAGATGGGATTTCACTACGGGATTTCACTATGTTGACCATACTGGTCTCGAACTCCTGACCTCATGATCAGCCCGCCTTGGCCTCCCAAAGTGCTGGGATGACAGACGTGAGCCACCTCGCCCAGCTGGAAACAATTATTTAATAAATGGAAAGATTTGTTCCACAATTAGACCACGGGATCTGAGGCCCCCTAGTGGCTACATCTGGTAGTGACTGCAGCCTTTCCAGACGGAGAAAGGAGAAATCTGACTGGATAAGGGAGGTGAGGTCCCAAAGCTAGGAAGTTGTGATGAAAAGGGAGTCCCTTTTGTCTGGATTGTCACATTAACAAGTAGGCATTATTATCATCCCCATACTCCGAATGATAAAGCTGAAATTCAGAGACTGAGACACATGCCTAGGTACAATAGCTGGTGACAGAGCTCCAATCTAGATTTTCAAGTTCATAATCAAATATCCTTTTAATACACTATGAGACAACCTGTCCTTGGGAGAAAAACCCTAGAGTTAATGGAGTATTCTCACTGCTCCTGCCCTTCCATAGTTAGGGAGGGAGATGCTTTTAGAAGATGCTATAGCTATTACAGTGCCCATTTCCACAGGCTTGGGGGAGAGAGGGAGCTGTGACCTACATAAATTGCAAATGCCCAGAAAAAGTGAAGAGAAAATATGGAAATTCAGAATCAAAAATTCAGCATGGCCTCCCTTTATGACAGTCAAAATTGTGGGTCACATATTGCATGCTACAAGTGAAGGTAAGTCTGTGTCTTCACTGTCAGACCGAACTCTGATTGATTTGAAGTTAGGCAATAGGGAAGGCTTTCCTGCCCTCCCACTCTCCTCTCTTGGAAAAAGGGATTTCTGTGGTGGTGGAAAAGTCCTTAAGGGTACATAAAAATGTTTGTCCCTCAAGTAGAATAAATGCATGAAATATTTTGAGCCAAACGCAGGAGATCTGATGCAACTTCCCATATAGAGCAGAATTCCCTCTATTCTACCTATAACAGGAGGCTATTAATTTAGTCTTTGTAAACAGCTCTAGTAACAAACAAGGAGCCCACACTCTCAAAAGACAGCCTATTTTGGTTTTAGCTCAGTTTATTATAAGATAAACCCCTGCAGGAATGTTACTGTGCTCCAGCAAGTGTGTAGAGTGAAGCCCAAGCGCAGCAATGCTGAAGGCAGGGTAAGCAGAAGGAAACTTTTCTGCAAAGATTCACTTTTATTCTGGTTTCTTTTAGGAAGTCATCTAGAAGCCCATTTCTCCAGCTGTAGAGCTCAGCAGCAACTAGCATTTCACACCCATAGAAAATATTTGCCTCTTTGATGGCCCATGAGATGAGGGACACACACTGATAGGACAATGGCCTTCCAAACATGACAACTAGGGAGGGCTCATAGGTGTCAGGTTGTTCTAACAATTGTCTTTTTTAACATGGAAAAAAATGAGTAAAAGCATTCTGAAGGCCAGGGCCGAATTCCCATCCTCATCCCCAATCTCTCCAGTTCTTGCTCGAAGTCATGATCTTATTATCTTTAATTGGACCAGTAGTGTAGCCTCTTTTGTTCTGGCTTTCTTCACTTTCACTATGATGTGCCTAGGAGTAGACTTCTTTTTATTTATCTTGCTTATTATTCACTGGGCTTGTTGAATCTGCGAATTCACATTCACAGCCATCATCTTCAATTAGGACTTTAATTAAATATATGTCAGACCTTCTCACTCTATTAGTTGTGTCTCTCATCCTCTCTTTTTTATTTTTCCAAGTAATTTGTTTCTCCAGGCAGAACTCTGGGCAATTTCTTATAACCTATTTTCCAATTCAATAATTCTTTTTTCAGTTGTGTTTAGCCGTGTCTTAAGCCTATCCATTAAATCCTCAAGTTTCATTGTTATAGTTTTTAGTATAACTAAACTAGTTATAGTTGACTTTTTCACCTTGATTTATTCTAATTGTCTCTATTAATTTTTATAATTTTCTGTTCCTTACACATAATTTTCCATTCCAAAAAATTTAAAATATTTTCAAACTTATTTTTAATTTTTTGGAATAGAAAGAACCATAGTTATTTTGGTCTTTGTTACATAATTATGATATCTGGAGTCTTCAAGAGTTTGTTTTTGTTGCCTATTCTTTTCCACTGGCTGTCATGGTCTATGTTTTCTCCTTTTATGCCAAGTTATCTTTGAATATACACTGGCATGTTTTGAAAAATTATTGTACAAATTATTCTAGACCCAATGTGATAACACCTTCCAGCAGGGAGTCTTTTCATTTCCTGGGATATTTTCAAATGCCTGAGGATACTACTTGTTCAAGGCCACTTTAATCCAAGGTCAGGGCTTTAGGTTCCTTGGACTGCCCAGGTGATGAGTATCTAGGTTACAAGACCACACAAGGGCTGGTTACTTGTGGGTCACCATTAAACCGAAGGGGTCTCAGCTGAGTATGACAGGAATGCTTCTCAAATCCCCTAATTATTTGTCTCATCGTCCTCACTGGAACAGTTAGTCCAAGCTACCTAGCTGGCCATTACAGAAGGAGATGTGTGCTCTTCTTGCCCCCAGTCCCTCTTTCTCCCCGTTTTTCCTTCAAAAAGATTCGCCCAAGATGCCACTCTGATTGTGTCATTCCCTTGCACAAATCCTTCAAAAGATTACTGTTAACTTTAAAATAAAATAAAAATTTGTAGTTTGGAAAATTCGGACCCAGATTCTTTCTTTTGCCTCATTCATTACACAAGAATTTATTGTGCACTGAGTGTGTGGTGCGCTGCTTACAAAGTCAGGTTCTTCCTAATCTCTTTCACCTGTTGTCTTACCTCCAAACTTACTCTACCGTCCAGTCAAACTGGGGTACTCAGTGTCGTGGGCAGAGCTGGCTCAGAACACAGATGGGCTAACTTCCAGATCAGTGATCTTTCCCCTACACCATTATCCCATATTCACGTTTAAGCTTATTCAACCTAGATTCTTTATGGATAGTATAATAAATTAACTAGACAAATGCTCAATAAGTACAAATTGTAATGGCATTTTTGTATTTCTTGTTGCATTTTGAGCTATCCTTTCTTGTGAGTCAGAAATTTCAATGAAGCATTACCTCTAGGGAGACCTGAAGTAAGGGAGGGCCTTCTGAGATGTAAGTTCCAGAAGATAATTCATCGTTGCCATAACTTTTTGTCAATCTTCATAGTTACAAGGGTACCCCAGAACAAAATTTCAGGCTTCAGGCTTCTTTCCCCTGACAAATGAGGGATCAGACCAATTGCCTGTGGAATTTGACTCCTCAGTGCTGGGAACATTTGCTTCCGAGTAGATCCAAACAAATCTACTGCCACCTGCTGGTGGTTGACTGAACTTCTAGTCAAACACTCAAAGTAAGCAAACCTGAAAATATGGTTTTTAGTTTTAGCCTCTGCTATTGTGTGACCTTGGGCCAATCCTTTTTTCTTCTCTGGGCTTCAGTTTCCCTACATTACAACCCACGTGGTTGGACGAAATGCCCTGGAATGGCCCTATCATTTTTGGTAAACAATGATTTTCTCTACAAGGATGTCCGTGTGACCAGAGGTGGTGTGGCAGGACTAATATCAGTAGCAGATCCTGACAAATGGGTCCCACCATTCTTATTTCTTACTGCAATGGCCAGGGAAAGAGGAGAGATGGGAAAGAAAGGGGTGAGGGTGCTCTGCTCATTAAAAGAAGGCAGGAAACTATGAGAGACATTTGTTATAAAAGTTCGGTTCTAAAATGATTTTAAAGGGGGAGTGGTAAAAGAGTTAAACCCTCAGCTATGCAAAATGTTTGATCTACCAGGTAAGTCATCCTTTGCTGGGCACAAGCAGTTTCAACTCATTTCATCAAATACTGAGGGGAAAAAACGGGGAAATAGTGTGTATCTCGGTGAATGCTCTAGTTAACCAAGAGTAAACCTGAACTCCATTTTGATTACAAGTGTTCTCAATGCTTTGATGATGAGGCCACTTTCTAAACTTTCTGAACTTGCTTTGTCATGGGATGGGAAGGACATAGGAAATTGGGTGGAGGCATTTCTTATCCTACAAGATTTTTTCTGTTCCATAGGGTCAGTGTCCGGTAGTGAAAAGAATAAGAGCCCTTTAGTCAAGATGCCAGGCTTTTCCATAAGATAGGGTCATAACCCAGGTCTCCATTGGCATACCCTGGTCTCCAGTGCCTAACTCCCTTGAACGGCCCAAACACTGACATTTGCCTTCTTTTCCGCTCCTATGGTGTTAGCCTGCGACCATCATTCTGCATCCCCTGAGACACAACCACATCTCAGAGAGACCCCAGTTGGTGAGGTCTTCCAGTTCCCTGACTTTTTTCGTGAGTACCCAAACTTGGGGTGAAGAGCACCCTAGGAAATTTAAGTCTTAAGCAGCTGTTGGTCTCTTGGAGCCCAATGTCCATCCTGATGGAGGAGCATTCCTGCGGTGGCCACAGGCCTGTCACAAAACCCATTAGGATCCCCGTCGACCTCATCCAGAGGCAAGGCACGCCGAGTTACTGAAGGCTCAAGGGTACGGAATGACCAGCAGTTGGGTTCCTTCTGATCCCCAAAATTGTCCAAGTCTCAGAATGCAGGTTCAGCCATGGCAGTGAAATTACCACACTCCCTTCACCATTAAATACAACTCTTGGGCATAGGCTCTTTCTTCCAACAGAAACACACATTTTACAGTTTGCAGAGAAGAAACAGGACCCAGTGCCACTTGAGGCGGATTCCCGACCCAGCCCCCGAGGAGCCAGCCCTCCTCCCCCTCCCCCAGCCCGGCCCCGCCCTTGTCTGTGTCTGGAGACGGCCGGGGGCTGACTGCAGAAGCCTGAAGGGGCGGGGGCCGGGCGGCGCGCAGGCTGCGGGCGGAGGCAGGAGCGCGCGCCTTTTTGTGCGGCTCCTGACACTTGTCCGATTGGCTGGGCCGGTGCTCCCGTCGGAGTGGGCGGAGCCAGCAGCGAGCTGGGATCTGTGCCCAGTCGCAGCCAGGAGCGGCCGCAGACGGAGCGCACCTTGCAGCTGCCGGACGCACCCTGGAGGGCGCTGCGTCCGGCAAAGCTGCTGGGTGGTTGCTCAGCCCCGGCTCTCTTCTCCAGTATCCCGGCTGACCCCCGCACCCCCAACTTCCCGTGCCCTCGCTGCTCTCTCCTTAGAGGCATCTCTTTGGGGACCGGCCAGCAATCCCTCTTCCCCCGGCCCCAGTAGAGACCCACTCCCCACCCCACCTCTGTCCCTTTTCGCGGCTCCTTCTCCCGCGCCCTCAGGCGCCCAGAACGCCACAGCCATGGGCATCCGAGGCATGCTGCGAGCCGCAGTGATCCTGCTGCTCATCAGGACCTGGCTCGCGGAGGGTAATTACCCCAGTCCCATCCCGAAATTCGACTTCGAGTTATCCTCCGCTGTGCCTGAAGTCGTCCTGAACCTCTTCAACTGGTAAGCGGGCACCCCCAGGCTAGGCAGGGGGGACAGGAATGGGGATGGGAAGATGGCCTCTGGCCTCTTGGACGGAGCGGGCTGGGGTGAATCGGACCCCAGCTCGCTGAGCCCTAGCACGCGGGCCCTGCCTGTTGGCCCCTAGAAGGGGTGAGGTGGAATGGAGTTGTTGAAATGGAGCCCTGTGTTTCCACCCACCTGTTACTGCGGCCCCTGACCGAGCTCCGCTTGTGCCCAAACCGCAGCCCGAAGGGTGGTGGCGGGGTTTGCCCTCGTCCCAGGATCTGCCCATCCATCCCCAAGAATTTAAGCTTCCTGGCAGCTTTTCCCCAGCTTTGGCACCTGTAGGATTCGGGAGGAGGGTACAGGATGATGGGCAATTCACAAAACATAGGAGAGACACCTGTTTGAGTCTAGATTTTAGTCCATTCCCTGAGGCACGCACGTGTGCATGCATGTGTTGAGGGGTGAGGGACTCTTTCCAATGCGGCAGATAGAAATGATTTACTCAAACCCATTGGAGCCCAGACAGTGCGATCGTGTCTGAATAACCACAAACCGTGTGGTCTGGGATGGGTGCGCTTTTATACTTACTCGCGTGAAAATATTTAAAGATTCAGGTTTTTTTCTCTCTTTGATTTCAAGTTTGTTTGGGTGTGTGAATATCTGAAGCCTTTACATGTAAATCACACAGATCCTGAGCATTAGCACATGGGTAATGTGTGCTTGGAAACAGGTAGAAATGCATTGCTTTAATTTAGGAATAATTCACGTGCACACTTTGGAATGTTGCAACATGAAATTTCTGATTAAAGATGATTAGGAATAATTTTAACAACGTTTAAATGACAAGCCAGAAATTAACATGTACTCATGAAAGGGGGCGGGTTAGTTTGGCAAGGTTCCAGCAGATAGCCCTGCAGTGCCCTCAACCCAACATACCGAACTGCGCCAGTTAACATGCATACATGTGCGCACACACACACACACGCGCGCACACACACACACGCACACACACACACACACATTTGCAGGGGCTGACATTCCCCGGGCAATGCGTCAAAGATTCAAAGAGTCACAGTGATGCCAGGGCCTGTTCGGATTTACAAGCCCTTTGGGGGAAAGGAGTCGTGTTGAAGGTCTAGGTGAATTGGGTAAGCATGTGAGAGATCTCTGGAAAGGCCAGTTCTCTGAAGAGCTGAGATGGGTCCACTTACCTAGGCTCACCCAAGACACCTCCAGGGTGGAAGCACATGCTTAGCAAGAGAGATACCTGCTCCTAGAATAAATGTCTTTTTGAGGACAGCTCTGAGCCCCATGAATCTGAAATGGTTTTGGGTGGATGATGGTCATAAATCTTAGCTACATCAGCAAGGCTCTCTCTGTGTGTCATATGCCATATGCCAAGTCTGGAAAACAGTGGTGTACAGAAACAAGGTTGACATAAAGTTGACTAAAAAATGCCCAGCCCTAGCCCAGGTAAGGAGAAATGTGACTTTGAGCTCATCTTCCGAGGGTACTGAGAGTGAAAGATGACTTTTCCTGGGACAATCAGGTGCCCCTGGAAGGAGGACCCCCACCAACCTAGAAAACAGCGTCCAGGCTGATTGCAAGATGGGGCTCTTGAAAGGGTTGAAGTAATGCATTTTTCTGAGGGCTTTCATCTGCCCATTCTTCTTCCTCTCCCCTTCTCCTGCCGCCTCCGCATCATCTCCTCAACTGCCCCCCCAAGTCCTGCCTGGTAACAGGGATCTCTGAGCCCCACCCTCTGGATTAAAGCTGGGAAGGGGTGAGGGGAAAAGGAGTCTGCGTCACTGCTGTGCTTCTGGCTGACTCACTGTGGGGAGGGAGGGGAGCAGGGAGAGACGGTGTGTACACGTATGACTGGACATGTCTGCGTATGTGCTGGACAAGGAAAGGCCCTAGCAAGGCAACCACTGACAAGTCGGCCCCGAGTCGACCAGCATTTACTTATGACTTCTCTGTTTCAGCAAAAGTTGTGCAAATGAAGCTGTGGTTCAAAAGATTTTGGACAGGGTGCTGTCGAGATACGATGTCCGCCTGAGACCGAATTTTGGAGGTAAGCCATATGCAGACACAAGAGAACTTGGATTGGGTGTCCTAGAGCTGATACAGCAAGCAAGCCCTGCCCTGTAAGCTGACCAACGGCGCCCCGCAGCTTCCACACCTGTGCCTCTGCAGATCCCACGTTCCTGACTCTGCAGAGACCAGCAAGGAAACACCACCAGGCCCTGTGCACCCTGTAATTTCTCTCACTTCTCTGGCTTCAGATGCATAAGAGCCTTCTACCTCCTTCACATTCCCCTTACAGTGTCGTGGCTGGCAAAGAGCTAAGCACAGAAGTGTGTGTACAGGATGCAGCATGCGCGTTTCTTAAGCTAGAGTTTTCTGCTCCCGCTCTCCAGCACGTTCTTCACACCCTGGCCACTTGTCTCATTCTGCCCTTTCAAAACTCAGAGCATGGTCTTCTCTATCTACTGTACTTAACCCTCCCAGGCCCTGGGCACTTCCAGCTTGGCTCCCTAATTCCCAGTCCGTTCAAGACACCGCAGTCAGTGTGGTCTTTATAAATCCAGCCCGATCACCTCAGGAACTTTTAATGCTTTTATCTAACTGCCAAATAAAATCCAAATTCCTCAGCCTCGTACTCAGATCTCTGGTCCTGAGATTAGAAATAACAAAGAAACTGACACACAAACCCCCAGGAAAATCATACATGAGTTTCTCCCTCATTTTTGTACTTAGCCCCCCATTTAGAAAGGGTGACTAGCATGGATCACACAGCTTTAAATGACAGGCAACCTACCCCGACTGTGCATAGCCAATGCAGCATTCTCTAGCCCAGGGGACACCTAGGAAACCTAGATCAAGGACAAAGAAAAGAAAGGGTGCATTAAACAGAGGTTAGCCACATTCCAGCTCAAAGGAAGCTCCCGCTCTAAAGGGTTAATGAAAGCTAATGGTCTGCATTTGTGCGTATGAATAGAGGTCTTCCAAGTACACTTTGTCACCACCCTAAGAACAAACAGCTGAGAGAATTCGGCCCCTGAGATAGACTAATTTGGCCTGGGGAGCGTACCCTTGAAAACCAAGGTGGTAGTCCTGGGCCCTAAGCTTTGGAGGTGGAACCCTGGACTGGTGCTTCACCTTTGCTCCCGTGCTCCCTCCGGAGTGATAGAGCAGAAGGCACAGCCCAAGGCATTCAAGCTGAGAGCATGCTGGGAAGCTAGGGTAGAAAGGGCAGAAAGTAGGCTTTTGTTGCAAAAACAGCAGCACCCCTTGTGGGTGGGTCCCTAAGGGATAGAGGTCTAACCATATGGGAATCCAGGTGGTAGAGTACCGGCAGCACGCCCTTGTATGGCAGCGACTTTGGGATCTTTTGGATCGGCTGCAGCAAGCACAAATGGGAGACACGGGAGTAGCTACTTTGTTTTCGGTCTTGCCTTTCTCACGTTTCTCAGCAGCGGCTGACCAACAACCATTTGAGGGCACCAACCACGTTCTCCCCACTGTTTCATGGCCAGGTTGATATCTCTGCAGGCGTCCAGGGCCAGGGGGAGGGAGCAGGGGCAAGAATCAATCTCTGCGGAGAGTTACCCTAAGCTTTGTGGTCGTGCACACCTGCAGCATGTGAGAAAAGGTGAATCCCTGGCTTGATTTAGCCAAACAGCAGGTGAAGGTGAGAGGACAAGAATAACTCAGGACCTTCTAGCATTTAAACAGAAGGGGGCACCACACATTCTAGATCTGAGGCTGTTGCACAGTGGGTGTGGGAGGAGAGACCCACTGATGGGATCCCTGGGCCAAGGTAGTCAGTGTTTGAGGGCCCCAGGACTCCCTGTATGGCCCCCTCCTAGACACAGAATCAAATTCCCCTCTGTGAGAGTTTCGGAGCATATCCCCCCTCACTTCTGCACACATACGCCACATCCAGTTCAAACAGGAGAGCCTTAGTCCTTCCCTGCATATGGGGGACAGTGAGAAGAGGAAGATGAAAAGGAGGAGGAAGATCCAGAGATAATTAACAAAGCCAATTCCTTCTGGGCAAGAGAACTGGGACTGCATTATGGCAAAAGGCAACCCTTGAGGGCTTCACCTAGCTTAGCACCTGGCATGACATAGGCACCCAATACTGTGAAGGAATGAATGAGATATTTTCGTCATTCCTTCATGCATCTGCTAGGTGGGAAGTGGAGTTGAGGCAGCCACGGGTTCCAGGAGATAGGGAGGTGATTATCCCCCACCACTTTTCCTGCCTTCTTGAAGGGGCAGGATGGTACAGTGATGGTCTGAGACCATTAGCCTAGACATGATATTTAGACTCCTTATCAGGACGTTAATCATCCCCCATCCCCTTTATCTATTTAGAGATGTGGGATTCCGCACTTAAATTCCCATCCTGACCACTACTAGCACAAAAGTTTCCCCTTTAAGGGGATAAATTAGAAGAATGTTTTCTTCCTCCAAGTGGCATCCCTGTGCCAGGACTCAGAGCTTGGTGAGGGGAATGTGAGCTGCATTTCAGCTCCCACATACCCTTCAACTAGGAGTCCTTCAACAGGCTTCTGGCCTAGCCCTTTAGGGTCCCCAGCATTCCACCACAAGGAAAGGAGTTGCCTGAGTCATGCGGAATGGCCTAGGGAAGTCTAACACTGGAGGGGTAGCTGGCTGCCTGGCCACTCTGGAGCTTGTTGCCTGCCTAACACAGCCTCCCTTCTCTAAAGGCATGTGGGGAGCCTGAAAGGCAGTCATCTAGAACATAACACTTCAGTGGGGCTTGTTCACAACAGGCCTGGATGCTGGAGTCTGGGCTGTACCCTAACACAGGTTCATTTACTTCATGGCTGCTATTCACATGCTTATTCCCAATAGTGCTTTCCTTTGTGAAGCTTTGGGCTTAGAATAACACATTACTTTCTTCGCAGCTCAGCTTCTGGGCAATCAGCCTGCAGTAAAACCAGCAGGCTGAATTGCAAGTATCATGTGTGTTCCCCTAGTAGCAGTGTGATGTAATACACAGAGACTAAGGGCTGTGCTATAGGACTGGATGTGGAAAGCTTTGAGCTGATGAGCGAACAATAAGAATGGATTTGCCCACAGTGCCTTACAGTTTACTACATATTTTCACATCCATGACCACATTTGAGTCCTGCCCATGGACAGTGCTCACACCTGGGTGTGAAGAAAAGCTAGGAGGCAGAAGTACACTAACACAAACATTCCCATGCTGTCACACTCACACATTAACACACACAATCGCCCTCACCTGTGCACTCATGAAGATGAACACGCTCACAAATTCATTCTCACACATAGACACGCCCACTGAGCATGATCACACATTCACTTATACTCACACATTAGCATGCTTACATACACCAAACATAGTCACAAATCCACATACACACATGAATGTATGCATTCACTCACACTCAAACACGCTCCGAAACACGTGCAAATTTATTCACATTAACACTCAAATGCACACACATTCACTCACACAAACATACCCATCAAACACCTTCATGAATTTATTCATGAACTTTAACATGCTCACACACACACAAACATGCTCACACATTTACTACACATGTTATGAGACCACACTCAAATTCATGCACACATTAACACACACACAAAGACGCTCTCACATATACATACGCATATGAATATACTCATACATTCACTCACACACAAATGTGCTCACATACACAAACACACTCACAAACTCACTCAAAAACGTGAAGACACATATTAACATCCTCACACACAAGCACATGCTCACACACATAAACATAATCATGCCTTCAGTCATGCATGAGCTTGCTCACATACACAGAAACACTCACACATTCACACACACATGAATGTGTTTACAGTATGCTCATAGATTCACTCACCTGCTGAAAATATGCACATCTACATTGATAGGTACATGCACATTAACATGCTTACACACAATCTTGCATTCACCCACATGGCAATTCTCACATACATGAACATGCTGATATAGTCTTCTATATACCTGAGTATACCAGTACACTTGGACACATCACACAATACACAAACATGCTCATGTACACTTATGTCAACACAACTAATTCACATACATGAACATGCACATGCATTCACTCACACATGGACACACGAATATACTGACACATGAAAGGCTCACTCTAATACATACACACACTCAGGCTCACACATTCTAATACATGCACACAGTCATACTTATGGGACACACTTATGCTAATATGTTCAGTGCCACAATACCACACTCACATATTCACACACAGACAGGCTCACATAAATTCATATGTATGTGTTCATGCATTCACTCTCACACAGACAAGCTCACAAACATGTATACTCATATCCTCCCTTGCACATGAACACAATCATACATTCACTCCCACACAACACACCTACAAACATTCACATGCTCACACATTTACTTCTATACAACACACTCAAGTATGCAAACGTGCTCACGCATTCACTTATACACAAACATGCTTACACACACTGTCACATTCAGCTGCACATGAACACACAAGTACTCCCACAAACACACTCAAACATTCACTCCCACACACAAACATGCACACACACAACCATGAATCTTGGCTCATGCTTTGGAGCTAATTGCTTTTCAGCTTTTATCAGGAAAATGTTTAGAAGGAGTGCTTCGTCCCTTTACGTTCTCTCTATTTTGCCCTGACACCTTCCTCTGCACATATCATGGGCCAGGCCTTGGTCTAAGTTCTTCGCCTGCACTATGACATCAGTGCTATCGCTATCACCATTTTATCCATGAGGACACTAAGACTCAGCACGGTTAGGCAACTTACTGAGGATCACACAACTAACATGGGTCAAACCCAGGCAGTCTGGCTCTCAAGTTTATGCTCTTAACATTTATTCTACCTCTCATGTAATTGCATCTTCCTGTGTTCTAGGTGCCCCTCTGCCTGTGAGAATATCTATTTATATCACCAGCATTGAACAGATCTCAGAAATGAATATGGTAAGTGTGTTAGTTCTAGCCATGGGGTTGGGAACAGAGGACATGAGACAAGGAGCAGGCTCATAAGCCAAGTCCAGTAGTTCTGACCTGTGACAGAACTCACATAAAGGAAGAAGGTAGGTTTGGGACACTGCAGCCACCCAGAATAAAAAGTACATTAATTCAAGCCCTACATACATCACACCACATCCAGAAACGCGATTCCAGATGGATTACAGACTTACAAGTGAAAGGCTTATAAAGCTTTTAGAAGAGAGCGCAGAACACTGGCTTTGTGTTTTGCAGTCAATAAGGATCTTTTTAAAAAGACACAGAAAACAGACCACAAAAAAGTAAATCTGGTAACCTCAAGTATATTGAAATTCTGTTGCACCAAGTTTGTGGAACGTCTGTTTTACAAAACAAACAAAACCATTGTAACAAGTGTGAAAGGATCAATCACAGTGGACTGAGATATTTGCAACATAAAGAGCTGATATTCAAAATTTGCATTATTTTGTGAATTAGTAAGAATATTTTTAAACCGATAGAAAAATTATCAGAGAACGTGAACAAGAATTTCACATCCGTGAAGAAAACTAAATAGCAGATAAATATATGAAATGTATGAAAAGATGCTTAGCCTTGTTAGTAAAGCAAAATAAAACCACAATGACAACCCATTACACACCAGTTTAGCAAAAGGTCAAAAGTCAGACAATGCCAATGTTGACGAAGCAGAAGCAGCTTCATCATTTCTATTTCATCATGGTTTTGATAGGTATGTTCACATGATAAAATGCATGGTATATTCATATATTATCCACCAAAGCAAGTGAACAGATTATAATTACACATGTCCACCAAGTTAATCTCGCAAAGGTAATGTTGTGTGAAAAAAGCAAACTATGAATATATACAGTATTATTTCATTCGGATAAAATTTTCAAAATGGGTCCAACTAAGCAATATGTTTTCTAGAAATAAATAGACAATAAAACTCTAACACAAAGCAAGGGAATTATCATAAAATCTAGCATAATGGTTACTGCTGGGGGTGTGAGGGAAATATATTCTGGAAGAGATACATTGGGGTTTTAAGGTTATTGGTAATATTCTGTTTCTTAACTTGGATTTTAATTTCTTGTATGTTTCACTTGTATATAGTTATGATATACTTCATACACTTGCATACACAAGTGCATGCACACATACACACACACCACACACACACGAAGAATGGAGTGCTTGACAACCAGACTTACAACTGAAATTTACATTTGTCTTTCCAGGACTATACAGTCACGATGTTTTTTCATCAGACTTGGAAAGATTCACGCTTAGCATACTATGAGACCACCCTGAACCTGACCCTGGACTATCGGATGTATGAGAAGTTGTGGGTCCCTGACTGCTACTTTCTGAATAGCAATGATGGTTTCGTGCATGATGTGACTGTGGAAAACCGTGTGTTTCAGCTTCACCCAGATGGAATGGTGCAGTATGGCATCCAGTGAGTTCCCTACGGGTCTGGGGATGTCCCAGCAGACTTCCTTCTTCGTACTGAATATTCTACAAGCACACTCTAAGGGACACACAAAGGACACACAAAGATAGGCTTTCCAAGCCTGTCTTGAACATCCCCCCTCACTTGTTCTCCCCAGTAGCCAAAGTGAAACTTTCACAGTTTCCCACAGATGCCCTTAGCTGTTCCGTCCCTACACCTTGGCTTCTGCTGTTCCTTCTGTCTGGATTGGTTAGTCCTTTCCCCCTTGCCATGAGTTGAAACCTTTCCCACCCTGAAATCTCTAACTCAAATGCCCCCTTCATCAAGAAGTCCTCCTTGATTCCCTCAACTGAAGGACTTCTCCCTCCACCTAGTGTTGCATGCATTCCGTTCTTTGTCTTTTCTCTCCCAGGCAGTGAGGGAGGGAGAAGATGAATGCTGAAGTCCATGCAGTGAACGAGGGAGGGGGCTGCTTTCTGCCATCAGTCATATATGCATCATGCAAGAACCCCAGGAGGGTGGAGAGGCAAGGTGTATGTGGTGTGGGTCTCTTGTCTGTGGCTCTGCAGACACACAGAACAATTGCAAGCTGAAACTCCTAACTAGTCTAATTATAGCATAGCAGTCACCAAGGCTCTCCTCACAGTGGCATCTCTTACAAACTGTCTCCAAAGACATGTATAAGAGATCAGTACAGCTCAGAATGTGTCTGTGAAGTAGCTACCAGGGTTCAGCTCTTATAGTTTTTACAGATGTAATACCTGGATTTCTCTTTCTCTGGGGAGCTCTTGCTCCATTCCTTCCTTTTTCCATCCACCTTCCCACAGACCCAGGCTCTGGAGTCAGAAAATAACAGGACTCACAGGGAACAGGTCACTGGTCACACTTGTTCTACTTAAAGGGGGCAATAGCTAAATAATGCTGCATGGAGAATTCATAGAAGGGAGAAAAACACACATGCACTCATAAGTGCATGCACACACCATATCCAGTGTACAAAATGGAAATTACTTTGAGCTAGCAATTGAAAGGGACTCAGCTGGGGTTACCAGATGAGAAGGGCAGAATAAGGGGTGGAGCAGAGCCTCCCAGCTGAGGCTGTGGAGAGCTTGTGTCTTATCTTTTCTCCCACAGGACACTTCTCCCACTTTCTCAGTGCCTCTGAGACCCCTCCTCAGATTCTTCTATGGATGCACCCACCACATTGCAACCTAAAGCTCCTGCCCACTTCATGTACTGCCAACAGTGCCATGGTCCGCCACAAACATGTTCATCGTTTCTGTGCATTTCACACCCGCTGGCATTTAGCTAGTCCCCAGTATCCACATAGGCCTGCACCTCTGGCATGTGTGCAGATGTGGCCTGAGGCAGGCCTGGATCAAGGCTCCCAACCGTACATCACACTTCACGCATGTGAGTCTCAGCTGATTTGGTGTGGCACACAGTTTCCTCTTGCTGGTGTCACTACTTCTCTAGGAAGCACCCCTTTCTATCTCTGCATTCAGTTTCCTCCAGGGCCCTTCCCATCTGACACCCTGTAGTTTTCAGACATGCCATACATGTGTTCTCTGTTTATGTGCTGCCAGGTCTCTTGGTTACTTTGTCACATACAAATTTCCTCTCTCCTGTCTACACATGGGTCAGTCCTTGAGGTAACTCTTCCCTCCCCACCCCTGCAGTTTCCTCAGCAATGGTGTGTAGGCCTGACTCACTTTCTCCTTCCTTTTTGTTTTCCTTTGCAGACTGACCACCACAGCAGCTTGTTCTCTGGATCTGCATAAATTCCCTATGGACAAGCAGGCCTGCAAGCTGGTGGTGGAGAGCTGTACGTATGTCTCCTATGGCCACCTCTCCCCTTCCTGGAGCTGGGGTGATCAGGAAATCAGAGGCTCAATTGACAGTAAAAGGCACAGTGTGTCTCCTGTGCTCCCTCCTCACCCCCATTCTCTCTCTCCAAAATAGATATATGATAGAGGAAGATAGATGATAGAAATAAAGAGAGAAAGGTGGTGGAGAGATAGATAGATGATAGATGATTCATTGATATATAGATGTATAAATGGCATCTGGGACCAGGTGGTCTTTAGAGTGTAAACGTCCTCTGGGAAAATAGCACCTTACTGTTGGCCAAGTGCACGCCAGTTAGTGGGTAGAAGCTTGTGCTTTACTTTCTTTCTAAGAATCTGAGACTACCTGTCTGTTTCTCTCCTTCCCAGATGGCTACACGGTTGAAGACATCATATTATTCTGGGATGACAATGGGAATGCCATCCACATGACCAAGGAGCTGCATATCCCTCAGTTCACTTTCCTGGGGAGAACGATTACTAGCAAGGAGGTGTATTTCTACACAGGTGGGTCTGACCACTTCCTTCTCTCCTGTCTCATGTTCCCCTTGCACCTCCATAATCTCCTGGTGGCCTCTGATTTTGGCTCTTACACTCTCTGAATGTTTCCTTTCCCATTTCCTACTGGCCCCAGGCCCCCTTAATAAAGCCCCAATGGCTCATCCTCTGCCAATGAAGCATGGCTGTGGAAGCACTTAGCCAGGTTCACAACACTCTGCAGGTGTAAAAGTGTTTTACACTTTTGAAGATGGAGCCTTTCACCCTCCATCTGTTTGCAGCTTGGGAACATCTCTTGCCTCTCCTATTCCAAACTTCACCTAACATGGAGCAAGTAAGAAAGGAAGGTGGAGAGAGAAGACTTGCTGTGCTCATGGGCCTTCTGAGATAGGCCATTGTCACCAGCCTGCCAGTGCAGCAAACAGAACCAGATCTGCAGTCTGCCCAAGCTGGATGCCTCTGGATGGAGAATTAGAAGCTGAACTGCCCATTGCTCTTCCCTTCTCCCCTCCTTCTTCATCCTGTACCTCTCCGCCCTTTTGCCGCAAATCCCCTCAGCCCTGCCACCCTAATTCCAATGTGTCTCCTTGCCAGGTTCCTACATACGCCTGATCCTGAAGTTCCAGGTTCAGAGGGACGTCAACAGCTACTTTGTACCTAGTGTCCTCACCACTATTACCTCTTGGATATCGTTTTGGATGAACTGTCATTCCTCTGCAGCCAGGGTGACAATTGGTAGGTTCTGTCTCCATCCCAGGAAGGAATTTGGGACATTTGGCTCAGAAAAAAAGTTGAGAATAAGGAAAAAGAACCTGGAACAGTGTGTGACTACACAGGCAAGGAAATAAGGATTTTTCCAGTAGGCATTTGTACCTTTGTATGGGTGCACAGCCAATCCCCAATAAAGAGACCGATGTTAAAGACAGATGTGAAAACCCAAAGTCAGGGTTGGAATCTTGGCCTGTTGAACCCAAAGTACCAGAATTCATCATTTAATCTATAAGTAAATGGACAAGTCATAGGTTTAGATCATAGGGGCCATTAAAAGCGGGCTAAATTACAGGGTCAGTCTGGGACAGGAGCTGAGGAGTTGAGAAGAGCAGCCGAAAGACAGCCTGAGCAGGCTTAGGAAGACATTGTACTTCATGTCTAAGCATGGGGAGCCATGAAATATTTTTGAGCAGTACCAAGAAGAGACCTAAGAGTTGACCTGCTTGGTTTGTCTGACCCCACCCAATAGAATGTCAGTGTGTCCCAGATCCAGATCTGGTTTCTCCTTCACCATCTGTGGGGCAGACTCCTCAGCCTCCCTTTTAGAAGCATGTTCTAGACTAAAGCTGTATAAATGTTTAGGGCTCACAAAACCTTACTTTAGGAGCTAAAGGAAGGCAAAAGGGAAAGAGTCTATCATAGGGCAAGGTGGGGCTGAAGATGTAAACTGCTATGAAACTGTAGCTGAAGGTTTGAGACTTGACCGTAAGAGCAATAGGAAGTCATTGAACCATTGAAGCATAGTCTGAGTTTCAAGATGGGGAAAGAGGAATAAAGAGAGAGCTGCAGGCCTTTGCTCTGGGCCCTCCTCACCCCAAATATGATGTTTGGCTGTGGGCCCAACGGGTTGCCAAGAATGTTAGCCATCAGAGGAGACTAAGCCTGTACTGTGTTGCTTACAGGCCTAACTTCAATGCTCATCCTGACCACTGTCGACTCACATCTGCGGGATAAAGTCCCCAACATCTCCTGTATCAAGGCCATTGACATCTATATCCTTGTGTGCTTGTTCTTTGTGTTCCTGTCCTTGGTGGAGTATGTCTACATCAACTATCTTTTCTACAGTCGAGGACCTCGGTGCCAACCTAGGCGACGCAGAAGACCACGAAGAGTCATTGCCCGCTACCGCCTCCAGCAAATGGTGGTGGGAAATGTGCAGGTTTGACTTTTTGACTGCCAATCAGCTTTCCCTGAGCACCTCTTGAGCCCAGGCTTAGCACTTTTGACCCTTTCACATTTCTTAGCTTTTTAAATATGCGCGCACACACACACACACGTGCAAGCACACAAAACATACACACACAGCACACACACGACATATAACAAAGAAGTAGTACTATTTCTCATCACTCCTTCATAAATGATCATTGTCCAAGGTCTCAAGGCAAGTAAGTGGCAGGCTAAATTTCTCCAGACCTTTGGAGTGAATTTGGTCCACCTTGCATGCTTCCAGAGCAGGCAATGAAGCTGGAAGGGAAGATGGGCACAGGGAGGCTGAAAGGAAGACAGACACTGGAGAGGCTGGCCTGCCTACGCCTCCTTCCTTGGCACTTCAGACTCCCAAGGCAATGCTGAGGCTTTTGTTGTTGGCAGTACCTTAATGCCTAGCTACCTCCTTCCTTCGCAGAAAGCCCGGCTCTGCCTACCTGAGCAAGCACCCATCCACCACACAGCACTCCTCAGGGAGCAGCTGTCCCCAGGGAGACACTGGCGTGGCAACCACCATGGCCTTCCCTTGCATGCTAACAGCCTATTGGTCCTGTTCCTCACCCCTTGAACGCCAGAGACCCCAAGAGGAGCTGGCTCTATGTGTCAAAGAGATCAGCAGTAACGTTGCCAGTGCTGATGAGGGAAGTCCCTTCTCTCCTCCCTCCCCCGCAGTGCATATCCATCTAGCCGATATGAAACTGATGAGCCTATCCATTATCTCCTCAAAGGATGCCCTGATTAACGTGGAAGACGGAGTCAGCTCTCTCCCCATCACCCCAGCGCAGGCCCCCTTGGCAAGCCTGGAAAGCCTCGGTTCTTTGACGTCCACCTCCGAGCAGGCCCAGCTGGCCACCTCGGAAAGCCTCCGCCCACTCACTTCTCTCACAGGCCAGGCCCCCCTGGCCACTGGAGAAAGCCTGAGCGATCTCCCCTCCACCTCAGAGCAGGCCTGGCAGAGCTATGGTGTTCGCATTAATGGTTTTCAGGCCAATGACAGTATTATTCCTACCGAAATCTGCAACCACGCCGAGGTCCATGGTTATCCTGTGACCCATGACCCTGAAGATTCCGATGAGAGCTTGAGCTCAGATGAGGACCATGGCCATGGCCCCAGTGGGATGCCCATGCTTCACTATGGCAAGAATGGTGTGCAAGAAGCAGGCTGGTATCTTGATGAAAGCAATGTCGAGAGCAGTTACCTTAGCCTTGAGGAGCAACTCAGGTGTGGTACTGGCAATAACTGGGGCCTTAACGATGATGAGCTCATGGCCTATGCCCAAAAGGACAGTAGCTCGGAGTCTGAGGACAGTAGCCCCCCAAGCCCTGGGTGCTCCTTCACTGAAGGCTTCTCTTTTGATCTCTTTAACCCTGACTACGTCCCTAAGGTTGACAAGTGGTCCCGGTTCCTCTTCCCTCTGGCCTTTGGGTTGTTCAACATTGTTTACTGGGTGTACCATATGTATTAGTCTCCCAGTGCCCCAGAACAGCAAGAGCACTGTTCTGTGCTCCTTTCACAGTTTCTTTTGGGTTTGTTTTTCTCTCTTTCCTTTGTTCCTTTTATTTTATGGTTATTTGGGCACTGCAATTAGTTCAATACTTCTCTTTATAAACATGGGGTGGGGAGTCATTGGAAAGAACATGTTCTAACTGGAAGGGACGGGATTGAGGAGTTGGAGGTAAATAGCACATGGAGTCCCCTTCGTGCTAGAAGAGTCTCACCTTTTCGAAAACTTGTAACAAGGAATAAGCATAGAAAAGCCCCTGGAAATGTTAAGAGGACACAGAAGAGCCAGGTCGGGGGATGGGGCCAGGGTCTGGGCCTTGCCCACAAACATTTCTCAGGGCTTTTCTGTTCCCCTGAGGTGTCAGCATTTCTTTTTCACTGTTCTGTTTCCTCCTAGGGATTATGGATCTCACTCACCCTCTGCTTAGGGCTTTATAGAAAAAAAGTCAAGCTGGGTGGGGCTGGGGTGCACAGAGAAAGGGCTAGCCATGGCTTGGAAATTCAGGGAACTGCCTACCGGAAACTTAGGGAGCATTTGCAAGTGCCTTTCCCCCACTGCATTTGTTGTGTTTGAGTATGGGGTTGTGATGCAAGGGTGGGAGAGGAATGTGGATGGGTGATGCTGCAGAGGGAGACATCAGGGTGAGAGCGCATACCCAGCTTGTGGGGTTGGCGGAGTGTGGGTGTGATGTCAGCTTAGAAATTACTCAGTTGAGCTGGCCTCTTTGGAGGCACTGGAACTTCTCTTGCCTATGTTTCTGCTGCAGAATGTTTGACAGTAGAGACTCAATACCTCTGTCTAAGTCAGGAGTTAGCCTTCCATCAGTTGCTGAGTTGATCACCAGTTACGGCACTTGGTGAATAAACACCAGGGTTAGGAGAATTCAGACTTGCTACTTTATCATGTGATCTAGACTAGCAGATGAATATCTATTGTAAATCTGTATACTAATCTTTTCTATTTGTTTAGCACGTAAGTGTCCACAAGCTCCACGACCCATTACATCACTGAAGCCTCACATTGTCCCCAGTGTTCCAGGGAAAACGAATGGAGCTTATGCCCCATGCTTGAAGACATGCAGCCAGTGAGTGGTAGATCCACCCCACTCGCTCTTTCTTGTCTTTTTCCTCCTGACTCTCAACTGAGACACTCCCTTTTCTTCCCACCCCAAAGGGGGTGCTCCAGAGGGCTCCCACCACATCTTACGGCACCTGGGGCATCTCTGCAGGAATAGGTTGGTGACCAGGCAATGAGCGTGAAGTGAGCAGATGGAGAACACACTCACTGCCCATTGAGCTAGGCCCCTAACGGAAATAGGATTGGCCAGCACACCAACTTGCCAAGCAGCTCGACCTCACTGATGGAGGTTGTGAGGGAGTGAACTTTGCCAAGCTCTCAACATATGCCACCCCTTCCTCCCTATGCAGTCTCTCCCACAGTCCCTTACCCCTCTACCCACTCAGCCTTTTAGCTGTGCTTCTGTGTTTGTGTTTCTGTATGTGCCTGGATGTATGCATATGTACCAGGGTGGGTCTCTGTACATATACAACCATTTGCGAAGCTGCATAGTGCTGTATCTAGTGGTGTAAATCTCTACTGGTGTGTGTAGAGTTGTATCTACAATGTGTGAAAGTGTGACTTATGTATGTGTGTGCGTGTGTACACATGGGTGTATGCTGAGTGCATGTATATAAGGGCATGTCTGCATATCTATGTTTATCTGATTTGAATGGGTATGAAAGGAAATACCTCTGAAAGTATATATATTCCCTGTTGGTGACCCTTCTAGAATGCTAGAATTCCCTTGGCCTGTTCCCATATGGTGGAGGGGCCTTGTTTGGCCAGGCTGCTTAACTGACTGTTTCTTTCCAATTTCCTGTTCCAGGGAGCAGCATCTCCCGGTTTGCTTCCACTCTTTGCCCTGTCCCTCCATCCACCTGTGCTGTCTCCTAGATAGAAGACTGAGGAAGTGAATGTAGTCATAAGAAGTGGTGCCTTGAGGTAGGAAGTGGTCAGTTCATGGCGGAAGCTGCAAGAGCAGAGCACTTCACTTTGTACTGGAAGAACATGTCTGGGGGTAACAGGCTGCAGAGTGATGCTGAAGGAGGCATTGAGAATAGACACTTCCACAATCACACACACACACACACACACTTCTTGTACAACAGTTAAAAACAAGAAAGTTGCCTCTGGAAGGCTAAAATTGCCTCTATTTTTGGATACCCCATACAGAGATTCAGGTTGAGGGGAGAGTAGTGACCCCATGTCTGAAGCTCCCAGCGCAGCTACTGAAAGGCTGGCTTCTTTGAGCATAAGCATTGGTTGCTTGACATGGATTTGAGGCTCCAGTACCCTGGAGGTGTTTTCAGCCCTATGGCAGCAAGCAGTTCATTTGGGATAAATTCATAAAGGGAGATTGGAGCAGTGGGAACAGAAAGAGGGTTTTCAGATTTGTCTGGCAGCAGTGCACATGAACACTTCACAGCACAGAGGAAAGGCAGCAAGGCCAGTTGTAAATACCTCTATAGATCCATATAGATAGATATAATACTATACTTTAAAAAGAATATCTTGCCCTAACATGCTGCAATGGGAGCAGTTGAATTCTACTGCCACCCGTACTCGTAGGTTATATGTCAAAATGAGGTGGAGATTTGGCAATGACACCGTTTCAGGAACGTGAACCTTCTGAATTTCCCATGGATTGGTCATTTTAGCCTGCACATTGCCAGATCTCCCCTTGTTGAGTCTTGTGTGTGGTCTGTCATCTGCATCATTGAGTTCTCAGCTGTCCCCAACCCCTTCTCAGCCCCTCCCCAGCGGGCAGTCACCCCTCGTCTTCCAGCTGGCTGCCTCCATCCCCTCCCTCTCTGCCTCACACCAAGTAACTCTGGAAGTGCAGAATGCTTGGTAGTTTGGAGCTTGGGCAGCATCTGGCACCTTCCATTTCTTTCCTTCCCATCAACTTTCTCCCTAGGATCCCTTCTTCGCCACTGTCTCGGGAAGGATACCCTGTCTGTTTTTCTGAAGTGTCATTTCGTTGTGGGGATATGTGACACGTTTCCTACCAAGTTCTTGCTGGTTCCATGTGCTACTGTAGGGTGCCTTTGCATAGGTCATGGACGATCTGGTGGGTCTTAATGGAGCTTGTCAAATGTATTCTTACAATTCATGTCATCTTCTTAATAGCAGGCTGCAAAGTCTTTGCATATTTAGAGCTGAGTTTTGCTGAGACTGTGGCCATTCCTAATGAGGTTTCCTCATTCCACATACATAAGAGCTAACCCCTTAGAGCTATTAACTAATGAATGCATTTATTAAACTATCCACTCACATGGTACCCTGCTGTGGTGATGAGCAGTAACTTTCTAGCTATTCCATAGCCCAGCATCAAAGGAAATCGTGACTTGTCCTACTAAAAGTGTAGTGTGTGTGTTGTATAGTGTTTTGTGATCAACATAAAATCTATATTGTCAGTGTTGGGTTTTCAGGGGAGGGAGGGGGAAGGTTTTAAAGTATCTCCTTGATAAACTTAAATTATGAAATAGCCCCAGTCAGTCAGAATCACTTCAATTGACTCAATTTGTGTGAGACTTTGCACTCACTATCTTGCCAGACAGACGCACGCCCAGGGGTCAATAGTCATCAGCGGAACTAAAGGTGCCCGAACTTAGCACGACTAGCTGTTGTGCCTGACACTGGACAGTACCGAGGGTCTCTTTGGAGGTCAGCCAAGTTGGTAACATTCTGTGAAACAGATGCAATAGAGTAAAATCACACACATGCAGGTCTTCGGGAGTTATGCTGGGCCCAGACAGTGAAAACCAACAAAAGACGAGAAGGGCCAAGACCTGGGTGTCCTGGATGACCTGACCCAAAAAGGGGCACAAAGCAGCAGAGCTTCATAAGGTGACTGGGTGGCTTCTTTGTCCTCATCAAATGGACATCTTTGCATGGTCCAGGCTTCAACAAAGTAAAATATACTGAAATAAAATTTTGTGAATAGCCAAGAGAGTAAAATAAATATCTATAATAGCAAGTACTCTGCCAGACCATTGTGTTTCCTCTCTGTTGGATTAGAAGATATTGCGCGGGACAGCTGTGTGGGCCAAGGAAGCCTCTGGCTTCCATCACTAGCTTGCCATGGCCTTCCCACAGCTTTGCACACCCACCTCCTTATACCCTGCGACAGTGGAAGCCATGGTTTTCAAGCTGAGGGGAAATAGCAACAGCACAGTTTAAATAAGTTTTGATTTTTGCAGAAGCTATTCTTAATCACTTAAAACAAAACTTTTAGAACAGGCCACTGTGGTGCTAAAATAGAAGGTGGAAATTTAGTTCAGCTTTATAGGGTGGAAGGAAAAGAGAAAGTGGTCTTTATAAAGAAAAAATTGTTTGAAAAATCTTCTTTGCCAATGTGGATGTGCAGAATAGAGAGTATCATGCTGATAACATTTGCAGAGTCACATCCAAATGTCCTGTTGGTGGGGCAGAGGGTCCTTGCTCTGGTCCACATTTCTCACTGCATTTTCAAGCACCTTTTGATAAAAACCTTGGAGCTGCAACAGAACACTACCCCAGTGACTCTTCCCATGTGGTCCCTTTTGTGCCTGAAGCAGCCCAGGAGGGCTATGCATACCCACCTTGCAGAGGTACTTCGCTGGTCTGCCCACAGCCCCAAACTGGGGCATACAGGATAGAAAAGTTTCTTGGATAGCCCTTCTCCAGTGTTCAGACTCTTAGCAGCTCCTGGAAACACGCCTTGTTCTCTTGGACCTCCCTGTTCTCCCTCACTGGACAAAGGCTCCAAAATGTACTTGCCCACTGATACCCAATCCAAAGCTTCAGTTGCTGCATGAAACACCCCATTAAATAGCATGTGCTCAGTGTCTCACCAAACACTGCACCTGGGAAACATGGCTGGGCCAATCTTTGCTATGCAACTAGCTTCGCATGACATTCCTACAGATTCCCCTGACTGTCTGAGATACAGAAGTCTCCCTTTCAACTCCTGGCAGCCTTCCTGCTGCTAAAAGCCATGTTACCTCATGCCAGAGGGTAACAGGCACATGTGAAAGAAGATGCAGCTAGGAGTATGATGTAGCCAGAGCTGGCTGTGAGCTGCTGCCTCCTCTTCTGCCTGCTAAATTCTGGCCAGCATGCCAGGTTCTGAAGGTGGCTCAGGACCACAGGTAGAGTTTGTGACCCTTGGATGGGTCTTGACAGTGGCAACTCCACAGTCACTTGCTGCCTGCATGACTGTGCAATGACTCCAAGGGATGGGGTGAGAGGAAGGGGGTGTGGTCTCCCTCCCCTTCCCAGCCTCACTAAACTCTCAGGGTGAAGGAGCCCTTGCCACACCTTCCTAGGCTTTCACCAAGGCCTCTCTTCCCAGCCTTCTATCTTGGCCCAGTTTCTTCTGAGCTTCAGCAGGGCCTCCCAGGGGCCCCTTGGCACTGCCATGGTGCTGCTTATCCAATTCAACTCTTCTGTTCAGGTTCTCAGGAGTGGGAGAGGACAGGAATCAGTAGGGCATACAAGACTGAAGCCGATTTAGTTTGTTTTTTAATGACCTTGAGTATATTTTTATGGCAGTATGCTTAAAAGTAATAGGGGATGAGACCTATTTCCCATGAGACTCCAACAAGTTTCTGTCCAACGATCCACAAGCAGCTCATGGACTGCATGGGGGGTCAGTGTCAGAATTCGAACATGAACTTTTCCAGTGACCAGGCTAAGACTTGCTGCAACATAATGCAGTTCTGCATCTTTGATTCTAGATTTCTCCATTTCAATTTCTTTCCCCACATTTTTCTCTCTTGCCATTTGTCTCTTTTTCGTCTGGGTCCAACCAAGTACGTAGACCAAAATTCTTATTGTAAAAGAAATCAAAGCCAGGTGCTGTGGCTCATGCCATAATCCCAACATTTTGGGAGTCAGAGGTGGGAAGATCACTTGAGCCCAGGAATTTGAGACCATCCTGGGCAATATAGTGAGACTCTGTCTCTACAAAAAAAAAATTTAACTGGCTGGGCATGGTGGCATGGGTCTGTAGTCACAGCTATGCAGAAGGCTGAGGTAAGAGGATCACTTGAGCCTGGAAGTCAAGGCTGCAGTGAGCCATAATCGCACCACTACACTCCAGCCTGGGAGACAGAGCAAGACTGTGTCTCAAAGCAAACACAAGTGTAAGGGGGAAAGAACCTAAAAGAACTGATATCTTCCAAGGTAGTGTCCTCAACAAGAAACAAAAGGGAGTAGAAATATGCCAGCTTCTTAGGAAGTCTCCTTCTAGTTTCACTCTGGGTTGGAAAAGAAGATTAAAAATGTATTGGAGATTATGGACCCCAGCTCTCCACCCACCAACTCCTCCCCACCCACTTCTCTCAGAAGTACTCTGTGTGCCCTTGGACAAAACTTCGTTCATTTGGGAGCCTCTTCTAGTCCTCTCCCTCCCTGGCCTTGGACCAGCTAGCGAGCCTATTCTGACCCCAGGCCAGCTGCTCAAAGCTCTACCCATTAAGGGCAGATTTTCCTTTGCCACTCTCTTTCAGGACCACCCCAGGTATGCCTGACATGCAGTGCCATCCATTTCCATCTTGTACACACAGACTGAACCATCTCATTTATAAACCAGCTAGGGCCTTTTTCCCTCCTACAGCTGGTCATAAAGAACTCCCCCATATGGCCATAGGTGCAACATGGGGGAAGAGGCACTGGTACAACCGTGATAAGTGGTGAAGGGTCAAAGCCATCTGCTCATGCAGTTACTTGTGCCCTCTGTTCCTGCACGGCTGCAACAGGCCAGCACTGTCATCCCTGCTCCTCTCAGCCACTGGATGGGAGCAGTCCTAGGAAAAGCATGGCCTCCATACAAATACAGCTATAGCTAATAAGTAACAGTGCTCCTGACAGCAGGTTCTCTTCCTAGAGATCTGAAAGGCACATCACCTCCATGGCTACCACACAAACACACCTTGCTATTGCTACTGTTGGTCTGCCTCTTAGAGCACAACATTTTTCAGCTAATCTGTTGTTATTCTAGTTTGGTATGGGCAATCCTACACTGACACTCTCCGTGGAGAAATATGTGAATCCTTTGGTGAGGAAAATGAAACCTCTACCTTCTTCTCCAATAAATAAAAATTACTCTGCCCCATCACACCATCAGACAATGGCTAACTACATGGAAATACCAAAGTTCATATTCGATAATTAGTTAGGAAAGGTTAGGTGCTGCTATTGTAACAATCCCAAAAATCCCACAAAAAAATGTTTATTTCCTTCTCACATTGTGCATCTAATGCGTGTCTTCGGGGGAGCTTCTGCTCATTGTAGTAACTCAGGGACAAGCTGACACAGGTTTCATCGTGTGCTTCTACAATCTTTGTAGTAAGGGGAAGGGAAAGTAGTGAAACTAACACTAGTAACTAAATGCTGCACACTTCATTTACACTCATGACTCTAGCTAGAACCAATACCATAGCCTAACCTGACTATAAGGAGCCAGGACATTCAGTTTGCTGTGTACCCAGGACAGGTGAACCATGTATCATTGAATTGTACTAGTGGCAACCATAGGAGTTTTCCCTTGATATTTCAAGGGATGTTACTTTCTCATTTCCCACTTAAAGGTACTCATGCCCTCCCTTTGTAGTAGTCTTCTCATTTTAAGCCAGTAACATATGCAGAAGTTTCAAAATACTGCCATTCATCAGTGACAGTGTCTACTGTAGGTAGTATTCAGAAGAAGCTCCAGACAGACAGTTATTCCCCTCATCCTTTCCCCCTGGGGAAAGGAAAAACAGCCCCTTTGCTGAAACTTGGTCCCCAACTGTTTACAGGTTTAGGAGCAGACCTGTCTTGTCTAGGCTCTATACCTTCACCTCTGAGGTTTGGAAGCAATAGAATAGATATATATACATATACATATACATATACATATACATATACATATACATATACATATACATACACATACACATACACATACACATACACATACACATACACACGTATATACATATAATAGGTATGAGAGGGATGAGAAGAGTTTATTAGGGAAATTGGCTTATGCAATTATGGAGGCTAAGCAGTCCCACAAAAGACCATCTGCAAACTGGAGATCCAGGGAAGCCAGCAGTGTGGCTCAGTCTAAGACCAGTGAAGGCCTCAGAACCAGGGAAGCCATTAGCTGTAACTCTCAGTCCCAAGCTGAAGTCCCAAGAACCTGGAAAGATGCTGGAGCAAGTCCTAGAGTCCAAAGGCCAGAGAGCCTGGAGTTGATGTGCAAGAGCAGAAGAAGATGGATATCCCAGCTCCAGAAGAGAGAGAATGCAAATTTGCCATTCCTCTACCTTCTTGTTTAATCTGGGTCTCAGCCAATTGGATGGTGTCACCCACACTGAGTGAAGGAAGATCATCCTTATTCAGGCCACTGATTCAAATGCCAGTCACTTTCAGAAACACCCTCATAGACACACTCAGAAATAATACTTTACCAGCTATCTGGACATAGCTTAGCCCAGTCAATTTGATACTTAAAGTTAACTATCACAGGCTGTATACCCCATTCTGGCTATAAGAAAAGCTAACTGCACCAGAGACAATAAAGCCAAAGCTGAGGACAAAAAGACTCCACAACAGCTGAGTTGGTCCTGTGCACAGTGAATCTGGACTTAAACCTTCAGTGAACTCTTACGAAAACACAAGTCAACTTCCTTTGGAGTCTCAGGGTTCCTGAATTCTGCTGAGGGCCCTGTGAAGAGGGAGGTCAGCTCAGAGGAAGTATGTGGAGCAGAGGTGGGGCAGGTGTTGATCTGGGTGGGCAGTGATCATGATGAGATTAACAAAATGGCACTCTTCCTTCTACATGACCCCCACAGCAATCACCCTGGGGCTCATTTTGAGTGACCCTATTCTCATTCAGAGGCTGATTGTCAGCCTGAAACATTTCCTACTAGGAGCTCCAGTTTCGCAGTGGAAGGTCTTCATTAATACAATGAAATACACCGTTAATAACATAAAAAGGCAGGCATA